TCCCAGCACTTTGGGAGGCTGAAGCAGGTAGATCACTTGAGGTCAGGAGTTCAAGACCACCCTGGCCAACATGGTGAAACCCCGTCTCTACTAAAAATACAAAAATTAGCAAGGCGTGGTGGTATGCGCCTGTAATCCCAGCTACGCAGGAGACTGAGGCACAAGAATTGCTTGAATTCAGGAGGCAGAGGCTGCAGCAGGCTGAGATCACGCCACTGTACTCCAGCCTGGGCGATAGAGACTCAGCCTCAAAAAAAAAAGAAATAGAACAGGCAAAACAGGCAAACTGCAATGTGCAGCAGTGAAAGGAGCTCAAGGTTTCTGGCTTCATTCAAAAGTCACAGCTCCCACGTGATCTCTTCTTGCCAAAGAAGAAAACAGTCAGTGCTGAACTGTCATCAGCTGATGAAGCAACAAGATCACAAACAGTGGTGGAGTTTACACCACTCACCCAAGCTGAGCCCAGAGGAATAAAACCCTTGGAAAGAGGGTGCAGGAGATGAAGCCCAAACAACCAGTGAGCTGTCAGCTTCTGCATTCATAACCCACAGCTATCATTACCACTTGGGTTGGCACCTGTAAGCCCAGGGGTTACACAGAAAGCCTGAGAAGAGAGCTTCGGGCCTCCTTAGATGGGGTTTAGTTGGAGGAAAGAATACTAGGGAATCAAAAAACCCATATTCTGTTCCCACTTTTATTAATTCAACAAATTAGTTATTTGCCACTAACTTATTGAGTAATCTAAGTAATTTACTTTGTTTCCTTTTCTGTCAAATGAGTACACCAAACTGGTTAAACACTGATTCTCTGAAGGCTCATATTTACATAACCACAGAAGTCCCCCAAGTCACTTACATCCAATTTAGGGAAATCTGTTAGAATTTGTGAAAGTCTATCATGGTAATTCTGTTGAGTAAATTTGACTTTTCTCATGTAAAAATGTCTAATGCGATGAATTTGGTAATGTTTATGAATAACAGTTGGAGTCTTTCGTTGAGTCTTCGACAATGTCAGGTCAATAAAGTCCTGCAATTAAAGAAAATAAAACATAATTACATCAAAAGTGTCTACTTTTGATCCACTTATTTGAAACCTTCTTAAAACACTAATTACAGTACTACATATTTTAAATTACAAAAATTTACTCTAACTAAACATTTTATGTACAACCTTGTTCATCTTCAAACACACGGCTGCTAAGATAAATTTTACGCCACACTTTCTTGATGCTATCTTAATTTCCAAACACCTAAGAACCTTTGAAACTTAAGTAATCAGAGAACTCAAATCATAAATTAGAAAAAATAGTTGAGAAAAAGAAACAATCCTCCCATTTCTTTATGCATATCTTTGACTTTGAAAGTAGATAAAATAACAGGTAAAACTAAAATCCACTTCATAATTTCCTAAGAGCATGGAAGGGAACTACTTGAGGAGATGAAGGATTTTTGCATGAGTTGCCCAGTGCAAAGAGTCAGCACTTCTCTTTAATAAGGATCCAATTCCCAGGATTCCTCAATCCAGTGTATCTAGTCACACAAAATTACTTGGATCTTTTTTCTTGAACACTTTGATTAATTCAACAATTTGATTAACTCAATATTATTTCAAACAAAGGTTGTTAAGGATACTTGGGTGCTGAAGATAATGAACAAGATACTGTCCCTTCCTTCACGGAATTCAGGGTCCAGTGACAGAAGTAAACACGTAGGCACAACACAGTCTGCCAAGTATTATACTATGAGGGGCACGCACCGTCTCCCCTCTGGGTCTACAAGTGAGACAAGTAAACAGGTGGTCACAACAGTCTTCCATGTACTATGAGGGGCACACACGGTCTTCCCTCTGGGCCTACAGAAGATCTTCCCTACATTTTTCTGCACCTAATGGCGTTCACACATCCTGAAGGGGGACCAGTTCAAAGGTTACCTACTTCATAAGATTGCCCCTGACTCTCCAACTTACCACAGCTAACCGCACTCTTCTCTCCCAATCCATGTGGGTCCTCCATGATAACAATGTTTCATTTCTAGTATGGTCATTCATGATGCCACTTACCCTTTTTTATTTTGTTTTGTTTTGTTTTGTTTGAGACAGAGTCTTGCTCTGTCGCCCAGGCCGAAGTGCAGTGGCAGCACAATCTCCGCTCACTGCAAGCTCCGCCTCCTGGATTCACGCCACTTTCCTGCCTCAGCCTCCCCAGCAGCTGGGACTACAGGTGCCTGCCACCACGCTCAGCTAATTTTTTTGTATTTTTAGTAGAGACGGGGTTTCAACGTGTTAGCCAAGATGGTCTCGATCTCCTGACCTTGTGCTCTGCCCGCCTCAGCCTCCCAAAGTGCTGGGATTACAGGCATGAGCCACCGCGCCGGCCTCGACTTACCCCTCTTGACAACGACTTCCAAAGAGGCAGGTATTTTATCTAATGCATTTTTGTAACACAGTACCCAATGCATAGGACAGGTACTCACTTAACAGCTTCTAGAATGAACTGAATACCACACACTTTCCTGATGTGATTTTTTTTTTTAACTTCCAATCACCAAACAATTACCATCACCCATTTTTTAGGTGTAAACTCATCTGTTCTCTAAAAATACAAATCTCATTCCACAGAAGATGGATGGTGTACTAACATATCCTAAAGTTCTCCACATAAGTCAACAACATGAACAAAGTTCATGTAATCCAAAGAGCAAATTCCTTCAACAAACTTGAGAGATGGCTGACCAAAAATACAAATAAGACATGATTCCTGCACTCGAAAATACTACAATCTGGCCGGGCGCGGTAGCTCATGCCTGTAATCCCAACACTTTGGGAGGCTGAGGCAAGTGGATCACGTGAGATCAAGAGTTCAAGACCAGCCTGGCCAACATGGTGAAACTCCATCCTACTGAAAATACAAAAATTAGCCAGGCCTGGTGGCCTGCACCTGTAATCCCAGCTACTCAGGAGGCTGAGGCAGGAGAATCACTTGAATCGGAGGCGGAGGCTGCAGTGAGATGAGATCCACCACTGCACTCCAACCTGGGCAACAGAGCGAGACTGCATCTCAAAAAGAAAGAAAGAAAGAAAATACTACAATCTATCAAGAGATGTGTCAGAACAATTGTCAGGAAGAAATGAGAAATGGAGAGAAGTGGGGAAACAATTATTGCTATGAAGGTAAAATACGAGACTCCCACAAAGCTTTCCAAGGCAAGCTCATTCCGTTGTTAAGACGTGAAGAAAAGGAGACACTGATGAGAGGAAAACAGTCACTCTGCAGGGACTTCAGTAACTCCCTCTTGTGCAGCAGTCCCTGAGAGGCTCGAGTTGCCCGTCAATGTCTCTGTAATTGCGACCCAAATCGAATGTTCACTACATAAAAACATGACTTCTTAAAAGTCGTAATACCAGGGCCGGGTGTGGTGGCTCACGCCAGTAATTCCAGCACTTTGGGAGGCCGGAGCGGGAATTCGAGGGATCTCGAACTCCCTGGGATCTCCCTGGGAGGCCTGGGATCAGGAGTTCGAGGCCAGCTTGGCCAACGTGGTGAAACCCCGTCTCTACTAATAACACAAAAATTAGCCGTGCGTGGTGGCGCACGCCTGTAATCCCTGTTACTCGGGAGGCTGAGGCAGGAGAATCGCTTGAACCCGGGAGGTGGAGGTTGCAGTGAGCCTTGATCGCGCTCCAGCCTGGGAAACAAAAGCGGAAAACTCTGTCTCGGGGAAAAAAAAAAAAAAAAAATTCTAACACTTAACACTTGTTGACTCATTCTTGCCACACTAACCAACGCTGTAAAAATTTAGTCTGGGCCTACTATGGTCTAAATAGAACAGGGGTTCCCAAATCTAACAGTGAAAGAGAATGACTTAAAAATTAAGAAATGTTAAATCACGATAGCAACGAACCGAGGATTCCTGAGAGGGGAGGGGGCTACGCCAAATCCAGAATCTGAAGGCTCATCACGGACCACGGAGTGCTTCCTCCCTCACATGTTGGGGTCCCCTCCACTCGCCCACCTCGTCACCCGGAGCCCCTCCAGGGAACCCTACTCTGGGTGGACCCCGATCTCTGGGGGCCCTCAGTCTCTGGGTGGACCCCGGTCTCAGGTGGACCCGGGTCTCTGGGGGATCCGATCTCTGGTGGACCCCGGATTCTGCTGGGGGAGGGGAAATGATCTCGAGTACCCGTCCCGCAGGTTGGGCCCGGGAGCGGGTGGTGGGCGAGCGGAAGGCGACCGCTCTCCCACGGCTACAGGCCCGGACCCTCCCCTGAGACCCCGCTAATGAGAAGGCGAAAGTAGCAGTGGCCCTCCCGGAGCCACCTACCTTGGCGGACGGCACCACCGTAATTTTCTTGAAGTTGTAGTGCGCCATGCCGGCTGCCGTATGCACGCGGGTACTGGGCACTCCCGGAACTTCCGTCGTCGGGAGTAGGAGGGACTTCCGCCGTCGGGCGCTTGCTGTACGTCACTTCCGGGAGCCAAGCGTGTCTTGCGTGCTCTATGGCGCTTTCGGCGTCGCACAGCGCACCCGCCCGGCCTGGAGGTCCGCCGCGGAGAGTGTGTGAGGGCCCCGGGAGCGAGGGCGCGGGGGAGAGGACGCCTGGGTTTTAGGGCGCGCGCGGAGACTAAATTCATGCTGGGTAAAGAAGAGGCTTCCGACAGACTGCCCTGCGGGTTTCTGGAGCGGGTTCAGGCCCCCAGCCATCCGCCCTGAAACAGGGTTCGAGGGGGGTCTTGGGATTTGGGGGATGCGGGGCTTAGGAGTCCGGAGGGTCGAGGGTATCCGGGAGTCTGGGCGTCCGGGGTCGCGGCGAGCCCCGCCGAGGAGGAGGGAGCCGCGCGTGCGGGGTGTGCCCGGGCTCTGGGTGTAGAGCGGGTGACACCCCCCACTCTGATCCCGGGCGGTGGTGAGGAGGCCCTCGCGGCTCCCCTGCAGCCCTCCTTTCTCGTGCTTGTTAAATCCCAAAACGGGCGGAGAAGGGAAATCCTGATCTCAGGCGAAAGAGGTGCCGCTGGTTCCGCAGAGTGCCTTAGGAGAGCGGAGGAAGCAGTTGCGAGAGACAGTCCTGTGGGGTCCAACAGAGGAGAAAGGTGATGAGGATGGAGCCTTTACTGCTTTAATGTTTGTGAATAGTGTGGCCGCTCCCTTAAGGAACCCAGGGCCACATCCCGTAAATTAAACGTTAGGTAGGGCTGACTCAGTCAAGCAGTGTTCAGAGCTGTTAACTACATATTAACTCGTTTAACTCCTGCAACTGCCTCATGAAGTGCGTGGGGAAACCCAAGGCACAGCAAGGCTCGAAAGCAGCCCAGGGTTGTGCAGCTAAGGGGCAGCAGAGGTGGGCTTTGAACCCAGGCAGCCTGGCTCCAGCAAACCTACTTCTAACGATTAGCTATACTGCTTCTCACGCATCTGGGATGCCCCCCACTCTCCAAACCTTTTAAATAAGTCCTATTATTCTTACACGAAAATACCTCTCATAAATTCCCAACATTCCAATATTGAAAATCATTCTGAGTCATGCTTTTCTCATCTATTAACTATGCTTCCATTTTTGTGTCACAAGGCGGATAAGCATACCTCCTACATCTCTGGCACTTCTAAAGGAAGCTTCTAGGGTAATTAGGATTCGCTGGCTATGATCATTTGCTACGCCGCAGGACAGTTCTGGCCACCATTTCCGAGATTAGCAAAGCTATGCTTATACTTACTGCCCTTTCTTTTAGGTTCTTATATGTTTCCTCAGCATCTCCCACTTTCTCTCACTCTGATATAGCCAGTTCCTCTTTCTTTTTCTTTTAATCCGATATTTAGATACTTTGCTTCAGATGGGCAAACATCCTTAATTCTTTTTTTTTTTTTTTTTTTTTCTTCAAACAGAGTCTCACTCTCTGTCACCCAGGCTGGAGTGCAGTGCCACGATCTCAGCTCACTGCAACCTCCGCCTCCGGGGTTCAAGCAATTCGTCTGCCTCAGCCTCCCGAGTAGCTGGGATTGCAGGCACCTGCCACCATTCCCAGCTAACACTTTGTATTTTTAGTAGAGACAGGATTTCACCATATTAGCCAGGCTGGTCTCAAAACCTGACCTCAAGTGATCCACCGGCCTTGGCCTCCCAAAGTGCTGAGATGATAGGTGTGAGCCACCTGCTTTTAACTTGTTCAGCTACAAAGGCATGTCTGTGAATGCACAACCATAATGGCTCATCATGGGCCCAGAGCTATGACCATGGTAAGGTACCAAGCATCCTACACCATGTGCGTGTTGATAAGAATCAACATCTTTGCCTATTCTTGTGATTTTCTGGCTGAGTATAGCTTCTTGGGGGCAAGTGTGTGTTCTACACCACCAGGAGCAAGCTTCTCTATTGATAGACTTCTGGGCTTCTCTGGAGAAACCAAACGCTAAAGGCCTTTCTGAGGAGAGTCAGAAATGCTGCCTGCAGTATGAGGCACATTGCCAATTCTTGACTGTGTTAACGGAGGTTCCAGCTACCAGGATGCCTCCGAGTGTGTGTACCTTGTGACAGAGAAAGGTACTTCTCAGCCGTAGTAAAGGATGCTCTCAAGGGTACTCTGCAAAGCTTCTGACTGCCAGGCACTTCTCAGGGAAAAGCTTTGTTTTTCAAATCTCTTTGTTTTGTGGACTTGGTATTTTCTGTTTTACCTTCTTGTTGCTGTAATTCTGATGAATGAAAGGTACATTTTGCAGAATTGAACTTCCTGCCTGAAAGGAGCCTTTGCATGGGGATTAGCCATCAGTAGCCATCCGGTCTTAGAGGGTCCTAAGAGTGCTCCATCGGGCCCGTCAGCCACTTCCCTGGATCCCCACAGGAACTCATTCAGAACGAGTCACATGCTGCTTTGTACCTGGATGCTTCCTCGTGTACATCATGTTTGCAAAGGAAGTAGCCAGCTCTTCGTGGACAGGAACTGTGTCTTACTCTTCTGCCATCCCTCCCCTCAGGCAGCACTGCCGAGAGCATTCGCAGTGGCCATGGAACTCTGTTGATTGAATGTTGGCTTGAGGAAGTTCCTGATGTAGTTGGGCCTGTAGCAGTTGGGATCTGGCTTCTGCGATACTCAAGTAGTCCTACTGAATTACAGTACCGTCAGAACCCTGTGCACAACCCTGAAATGGGTCAGAACTCCACACTGTGCCATAAAGAGGAAAATTGTCAACAGGGAAGTCTAAGGAAACACCCTCTTTTGTGGAAGGCAGCAGTGGCATGAGAGCCACCCTCTGGGCCAAAGGTGCAGCCTGACATTCTCTGCAGAATTACACCATGAGTTAAGAGTGTGAGCTTCGTTTCTGAGATACAGCTCCACCCCCTCTGATCCTGGGAAAACTTATCAGCTTCACCAAGCCTCTGTTTCTTCACTCTTTGCTCAGTTACTATCTACCAGGCATGTTAAAAATACTTTATGTGAATTATTTTTGCTTTTCACTAACCCTATTCTACAGGCATTAATAAGTGAGCAAAGAGATTCTCTATTATTTGTTACGCATTATTATGTATTATCTATGTTCTTATTAACTACTTGGTTACAATAACGTTTGCTAAACTTTTGTTCTGTTCATTAAATTCTCGTTGAACCTTAACAACTGCAAAGCAGGGAGCCTCCACCACATGCCGGGTCACTTGCTTTCCTTCTCGGGACAGCATAGTGAGGTGGGTGTGATTGTCTCTGTTTCACAGATTAGAGTGCTGGCTTTGATGTGGTTGGATGCTTGCTCACCGCCACACAGCTGGAGAGACACAACTGGAGGTGAGTCCAGGGAGCATGGAATTCCAAAGCCACTCTCCTTTTGCACTGCCAGCCAAGAGTGGCTTTGTTCTTGACCTCTTTAGGGTTATTACCTCGTTTGGTATTTGTTTGTTTGTTTGTTTATTTATGAGATAGGATCTCACTCTGTCGCCCAGGCTGGAGTGCAATGGTGTGATCTTGGCTCACTGCAACCTCCACCTCCCAAGTTGAAGCAATTCTCAGATTTAAGTGCCTCAGCCTCCCGAGTAGCTGGGACTACAGGTGCACACCACCACACCCGGCTACTTTTTGTATTTTTTAGTAGAGGCGAGGTTTCGCCGTGTTGTCCAGGCTGGTCATGAATTGTTTGGTATTTACATGGAGGTACATGATGGATTGCACTTGGGGTCATATGCTGTCAATAATCCCCCAGCACCTGTGTTTCACTAAAGCACTGTTTGCATATGCAGACAGGTTGTTTCTTCTGTGAGAATTCTGTTCCTGTGTGTGGATCATGACAGGCACCTGTGCTAATGAACTTCTGCCCTTGCTCACGTCAGAGCTGCTGATAAGGGCTGTTTCCATGGGTTGAGTAAGAGTCATTCAATTGACACACTGTTAAAAACATTCTTTGCATTCTGCTGTTCCCTAAAGGAACAATTTTAGGTTTAATGGAAATCTTCCAATCTCTTTTCCTAGAGAAGATTTGTGATAATAATAAACATACACGTATTTGGAATGCATGTACTTATGCTTGTATGATCAATTTCCAAACGATTCTAAATATCTGCAGGCAGAATTTCTTAAGATTAGCATTCTGTGCTGTACCCAAAAAGATACTCGAGATAAGCAAAGATAAGTTTCATATTGCAACAGACATCTGAATCTTTGGTGTTTATGGAAGCTGGTTAAGCAGGTGGTTGTGATGTCTGACCCTCAGGTTAAAAACAGCGAAAAAAATTCACTTTGATGATGTGACGTTATTGTCACAAGTTTAATAATTGATTTTGAAGGTCTGCACAAGGAAACCATAATGTTTTAGCAATTTCCGTTTTCCAGAGGGAGGAGGCTTAAAATTTCAATTCCAGCCCTGCCACCAACTTCTAGACTAACAGTAAGCTAAGTGCCTTTCCCGCTATTATTTTTAATTAAAAACATATTATTTCCTCACAAAAGCATAGAGGTATAAAAATAATATTTGCTATCAGAATGTATCTGTCTGGACAGTCTAAATTATCCTATGATAACAAATAGTCTCCAAATCTCAGCGTTGGTTGTTTCTCTCTGATGCTTCATGCCCACTGCTGTGGACCAAATTGAGTCTCCCCAAATTCCTGTGTGAAAGCCCTGACCCCCATTGTTATGGTATTTGGAGATGGAGCCTTGGGGAGATAATTCGGTTCAGAAAAGGTCACGAGGCTGGAGCTCTCCTGGTGGAGTTGGCACACTTATGAGCACTTCTGAGAAAAGATACCAGAGGGCTGCTCCCAGGCTTCCCCGACCCCATGCATGCACCAAGGAGAGACGATGTGAGCACAGAGGGAAGGCAGCTTTCAACAAGCCAGGCAGAGGCTGCAACCAGAACCCAACTATGCTGATGCCCTGATCTTGACCTTCCAGTCTCCAAAACTGTGAAAAGAAAATTGCATGTTATTTAAGCCACTCAGTCAGTGGTATTTTGTTATGGCAGCCCAAGCTGGTTGAGATACCCACCACAGGTCAGCAGGGGCCCCTGTTCAGGATGGTCATTGAGAGATCAGACTCCTAGAATAAAGGTTGACAATAGCTATGCCGAGGAAAGGGGAATGAGTTTGACAATCAAATGTTTCAGTCTCAGCTCCCATGTGCCTATTTCTGGACAGTGAGTTGAGAATAACAGAGTTATTTGTAAACAGTACTGATGCCTACCGCATTGGCATCTAAAGCAGATGCTCTTTAAATCTGTGTTCGGTTGAGCTGGGCACGGTGGCTCACGTCTGGAATCCCAGCACTTTAGGAGGCCGAGGCAGGCGGATCATGAGGTCAAGAGTTCGAGACCAGCCTGACCAACATAGTGAAACCCTGTCTCTACTAAAAATACAAAAAATTAGCTGGGCGTGGTGGTGCGGGCCTGTAATCCCAGCTACTTCGGAGTCTGGCTCAGGAGAATCACTTGAACCTGGGAGGCAGAAGTTGCAGTGGGCCAAGATCACACCACTGAATTCCAGCCTGGGTGACAGGGTGAGACTCTGTCTCAAAAATAAATAAATAAATGAAAAATAAATCCATGTTCAATTGATAATCCAAATATGGTACAACGTATAATGCCAAAATACTTCTGTTTAGAAAATCCGAACCTATGACCATTATATAAAGAGACAGGTAATAAACCCTCTTCTGTTCCTCTGTCCCAGGCTAATATTGACTAATGCAGGTCTTTCTTCATAAGTGTTCATTCATTTAAAACCTCCATAAAAGCATCAGTATACCTGGGGACTGACAAAGTCGGAATTCCAAACTCTTAAGAAAACATGAAAGAACTCTCGTGAATGATCCTGCCCAGCAAGTAACTCCTATCCTGTTTCCTTTCTCCTTATAGTCTGTTTCAGCTGATCATCATCTGCATAGCTCACTTTCCATTGGGATTAATTCAGACCACTTTTTTATTTTAAGTTATTCTCATTTTCAAAATTTTTGTGGCAGGCCACCATGCCAATACTCAGTAAACAGAAGTTAAAACACATTCAAAATGGGAAAGTACTAGGAAGACCATGGGATTGATGGAGAAAATTGAATCATACAGAATTTTAATAACTTTAAATAGTAAATTTTAGAAGTAGATATGTAAAAACTTCATGATTTCATATTTTGAGGCAATGTGTTATCACCTGCGATATGTGGCTTTATCTAGATCGTGTTTTCCATTTTGTCACCTCATCACAATTTGCTCTTTTTTCCCTTTTTAGTTGACTGACTGACTCTGCCATGAGAAAATGTGGTCTAGTCCAAGTTATTTTTTTAAATATAAAAAGTTATATAGGTTGAGGCTGGGCGCAGTGTCTCATGCCTCTAATCCAAGCACTTTGGGAGGCCGAGGTGGGCAGATCACTGGAGGTCAGGAGTTTGAGACCAGCCTGGCCAACATGGCAAAACTCCATCTCTACCAAAAATACAAAAACTAGCTGGGCATGGTTGCACACATCTGTCGTCCCAGCTACTCAAGAGGCTGAAGCAGGAAAGTTGCTTGAGGCAGGAGGTTGCAGTGAGCCAAGATTGTGCCACTGCACTCCAGCCTGGGCAACATAGTGAGATTCCATCTCAAAAAAAAGAAAAAAAGAAAAGCTATAGGTTGAAAAAGTGGCAGATCAAGAATAGCTTTGACCAGCACATATAAGCTAAAAGCAGGCTTACCCTGCTGCCTACTGCTAGATTCAGGCAATTTCAGACATTATCTGTTCCACACATAATAAATTTTAAAACAAGTGCCATTTTACATGGTCGGCTAGGGATAAAGGACAGTCTCATATTGAAAACAGTACATGGCTGGGCACGGTGGCTCATGCCTGTAATCCCAGCACTTTGGGAGGCTGAGGCAGGTGGATCATGAGGTCAGGAGTTCAAGACCAGCCTGGCCAAGATGGTGAAGCCCTGTCTCTACTAAAACTGCAAAAATTAGCTGGGTGCGGTGGCAGGCATTTGTAATGCCAGCTACTCTGGAAGCTGAGCAGGAGAATTGCTTGAACCTGGGTGGCAGAGGTTGTGGTGAGTGAAGATCATGCTACTGCCCTCCAGCCTGGGCAACAGAGTGAGACTCCGTCTCAAAAAACAAAACAAAACAAAAAAACATTACCAAGTACCTAAACTATGTTTTAAACACCCTTTAAAGTTATCTAAATATTACTTAGTGATATAGTTTGGATATTTTTCTCATATTGAATCTCATCAAATCTCATATTGAATTATAATCCCCAGTGCTGGAGGTGGGACCTCGTGCGAGGTGTTTGGATCACAGAAAATTGGTACCAACCAGTGGAGCATTGCTATAAAGATACCTGAAAATGTAAAATTAACTTTGGGACTAGGTACTAGGCAGAGGTTGGAAGACTTTGGAGGGCTCAGAAGAAGATAGGATGATGAGGGAAAGCTTAGAACATCTTAGAGACTGGTTCAACAGTTGTGACCAAAATACTGATAGTGATATGGACAGTGAAGTCCAGGCTGCTGAGGTCTCAGATAGAAATGAGGAAATTATTGGGAACTGGGTCAAAAGTCACCCTTGTTATGCCTTAGCAAAGAGCTTGGCTGCGTTCTGGTCGTGCCCTAGGGATCTGTGGAAGTTTGAACTAAAAAGTGATGATTGGGGGCATCTGGCGGAAGAAATTACTAAGCAACAAAGCGTTCAAGAGATAGCCTGGCTAATTCCAACAGCTTACCTCAGATGGAGGAGCAAATAAATGACCTAACGTTGGAACTTACATTTAAACAGGAAGCAGAGTATAAAAGTTTGGAAAATCTGCAGCCTGGTCATGTGGCACAGAAAGAAAAAGCTTTTTAAAGGAATTTAAGCAGGCTGCAGAATGATCACTTGCTAGGGATATTTGCATAGGTAAAAGCGAGCCAAGAGAATGGGGAAAAAGGCTGGAAGGCATTTCAGAGACCTTCCCAGGAGCCTCTCCCATCATAGGCCCAGAGGTCTAGGAGGACAGAATGGTTTCACGGGTCAGGCCCAGGGTATCCATTGCCCTGCACAGCCTTGGGACACTGCTTCCCACATTTCAGCTGCTTAGTTCCAGCCATGATTCAAAGGGGCCCAGGTACAGCTTGGGCTTTGGAGAACATAACCCTTGGCAGCTCCTGCATAGTGTTAAGCATGCA